GTTAGTCCCAGGCTTGGCACAAATTTAATGCCCATTTACATTATATATTGAATTCCTAGGCTTTGCCCATCTTCATCCACTTATACCTGATTCACACATACCGGTTCATCACTCAGTGGCTCATCTCTAAGAATGGGGAGAGAGAGAGAAAGAGAGTTACATTTTTCCTCTACCATCCTTCCACATTCCTGACCTACTCTTTATTCATATTGGGTTTTAAAGCTTTGTATTTCTTCCTAGATTAAAATGTGTCTCCTTTTTATAACTTTTTCCTAGTGTATGTATTTATTTATTCATCTTACCTAAAGCACACATTCCCCCCCCCTCAACTAAACCCTTGTCTGTTTGTTTTCAATTGTCAGCCACTCATAGTTTGAAAGGTACATTATGTTGTACATACTTCATTTTTCTGAAATGCCCCCATAAGTCTCACAAATTTTCAGTGTGATGTTTTTTATACCACAATGAGTCTTGGCAGCTATGAAAAGCTGCTATCATTAAGACGGTTTAATCTCCCAAAATGCTGGTCAGAAGATCTTACTGCTTTAGCATGTATTTTATGGATACCAGCTTCAAGGAAATATATTTTGAGAAATATATTAATGTTACTGACAGCCTATTAACATATATGCTTAGCCCATGTTCATATCATATGTATTTCCTCTTCCCATTATTCTCTTCATTTTTGTTTCTTTTCTTTAAAATTCAAATTAATTTGTTAAAGTATCTCCCAAAATTCTTTTCTAATCATCACTGAATGACTCAACTCCTGCAAAATAATAACAGTAACAACACCTCCTCATCTTTGCATTGGAATTACAGGACTTATTCATGTGTCAGTCTCAGCCTATGGCAGCTATAGGAAAAAAAATAGCAAGAGCCTCAAAATATAAAATCATTCTAACAAACCTGATATGCAGTTGTTGGCTGACCAAGGTACAGAATTTGGAAGGATGGTGTGCTATGTCAGTGCTGCTCAAAATGGTGATACATGGATCAGTGCCAGTCCATAGGCCGTTGGCTACTGGTCTGCAGAGATTTTGCAGGAATAAAAGAAACAATTGTAGTCACTGGGCACAAATATGGTAATGGTCCCTGTCACTAGTCCCCCATATCAGAGAGGGCATGAGAAGATTGCTCTATGCTTTCTCCAGATTTTGGAGCTGCAGTTCTGGCAGCTACTTGCACACAACAGGTCCTGCTATTTCCTTGGTGGGGCAGGAAAAGGATGCCATTTAAAAACACTTTTATGCAGTAATCATGCACCCAAAGATTTGTATATGATATTCTTATCCATGTTTCACCTCCAAAGAGGAGCACTTGGAGGTTGCATTTCTCCATACTTTTAGAGGAGTATGGGAACCATAGTTACATCTTTGTAGATCTCTGGTTCTTTAATGAACATCACCACCATTTTATTATAGACTGTACATGTCTCTGTTTTCCACTGGCAATTTGCAATCACTGTACCAGGGGCTGGGAATTATAGGGTATGGGGAGGAAATTAATGAAAACACTTTCATAAAATGTCAACAGTTTACACTATAATGGAACAAAATTAATTAGTAAAACAGTACAAAGCTAATTAATCACATATACAAGGGAGAGTTAAAATATGCAGATAGAAAATGTACCAAATAATAATAATAATAATAATAATAATAATAATAATAATAATAATAATAATAATAAATTTTTATTTATAGCCTACCCCTCTGCTTGGCAATCGGGGCAAGTTACAGCATATTAAAACATACAAAGTTAAAAGCATTCCCTCATCCTGCAATCTAACCCTCCCATCCCATTAAATCAAGATTAAACTATTGAAGAATTAAAATAGAATAATACAATTAAAACAATAAAAACAACAAAACTCTTTCGGCGGGCCTTTCCGGATTAATCCACTAGTATGTTCCGGAAT